CCTGCTGATGTTCAGGTGTATATCAGTATGTAGTGTCTCTACTTTAAAGAGTCCTCTCCTGCTGATGTTCAGGTGTATATCAGTATGTAGTGTCTCTACTTTAAAGAGTCCTCTCCTGCTGATGTTCAGGTGTATATCAGTATGTAGTGTCTCTACTTTAAAGAGTCCTCTCCTGCTGATGTTCAGGTGTATATCAGTATGTAGTGTCTCTACTGGGACATGTCTCCATGTTTAATGTTCCAAAAGCTCTTTATTTTTCTCATACTGCCTTTGCTTCAGCACCTCTTTTCACTCTCTGTCTGAAACCAGAGCCCGGGCTGCTCTGATTGGTCAGCTGGTTGTGATTGGTCAACCTCTTACAGATGTCCCGCCCCTTAGCCTATCACGTACAATTTGATAGCCAATCAAAGCACGAGTGTTACATAGTGTTCCGCAAGTAAACAAAGGAGTTCAATGGAGGTGTTTGAGACAGTGGGGAGCATATTGTGACAACGATATATACAAATGACTGAATTTGGAAGAAAAAAAAGTTAAACCGTACTTAACTTATTCCTCTTCATCCAATTAGTCTCCATTTTGTTTTTCATCTTCTCCTTTTCTCTACTTTTCCTCCTCTCTTCTCTAAACTGTACAGTAACTTTACAGTGTCCACTTTACAGGCGCATGTACAAACAAATGTGCCCGTTCAGTGTTCCCACATCAGTGCATTAATTCAGCCGATAGTCCCATCATTCAGTGTCGACAAGAGTACTGGCCGCAGTCACCGAGAACAATGAAACGGGCTTTCATGGGAGTAAATGGGTTTTTCATCGGCCCACTTCACAAACGAGGCTTTAGCTCAGAACATACACACAGCCGGGCTGCAGGAGGAAGTGATAGATCTGCTCTGAAATGTTGTGTTTTTTGGAAAAGAGGGAAATCAGACAAGAAAAACAAACACATACAAACACTTTTACTAACATTCAAAGAGGCAAGAAAAGGACAAATGTGAAGAGAAAGATGCAAAAATCAATGAAACACAAATATCTTGTTCCTGCAGTTAAAGCTATAAAATATAGCTGCTTTGTCAATAGTCAATGTTTTTGTATTTAGTCCATCCATCCATCTTCTCCCGCTTATCCGTGGTCGGGTCGCGGAGGTAGCAGTTCCAGCAGAGAGCCCCAAACTTTCTTTTCCCTGGCCACATCAACCAGCTCTGACTGGGGGATCCCAAGGCGCTCCCAGGCCAGCGAAGAGATATAATCCCTCCACCTGTTTTTGTATTTAGTCTAAATAATATATTGCTTTGGTTTAATATGTTGCAGCAGAATTGATTTACTCTGACTGAACGATAGCAGTGGTTTCCTAGCTGTAACTGTTAACACCTTAAATCCTCTACAAAGCCAGGTCTTCCTGCAACTCCTTTTCATAGATTGCTTCATTTTCATTTTTTCTTAAGGTCTAACGATGTTAAGGTATCCAAAATCTCACAAGATAAGATAAGATGAGCCTTTATTGATTCCCAGAGAGGAGATGCAGGTGTTGCAGCAGCACATGGACAGACACAAATAAGTATTGTTACGTAGAGACAGGTCCAATTAAATCAGTATATGAAATGAGAATATGATGACAAGACGAAAGCCAGAACATGACATGGTTTGTGTAGCAGAAAATTAAGCATGTAACCCCTTCAGATTTGATCTTAATCCCGTATTATCGTGATCAGGTTGAAACTGGCTATGAGAAATGGTGGGAAGAAATGTGATGTTTCCTAAAAGCCACACACGTAAAAAAAAAATCATTGCATGACATTTTTGAATAATTTATTGAGCCTCCATGCACTTTGTTTTTGTCAACTTTCTGAACATCTTAGCACCGTTTCACAGCGCTTCGAATTGTGAATGCACTGTTCATTTAAAAGGAGGTAGAGTTATGAATAGAGAGAAAGGTGGAAAAGATAGCAGTGGCAGTGGCAAGAAGACAAGGACAGGAAGGAGAATAAATAGGGATGAGACAGAAAGGCAAAAAGAGAGACAGAGAGTGAAGGTGGAGCGAGAGAATAAAGGCCTCCTGGGTCTCAATTATCCGAGTCCAAGCATCGGGTGAAGACAGCTCGGGGTGAAGGGGAGGGTACCATCTCCTCGGTCATCTCTGCATCCTATTAGCCTCTCAGGAACAACATGTCCGGCTTTTAGAGATATGCATTCATTTAGAAGCTGTGGTGAACTGCTGCAGAAAAGAAAGGAGGGACATTTTATCTTGTTTGGGGTTTTTCGAGGGGCCACATCCGCGTTTGGTGGCACCACGCCTTCCCCGACAGAAGAACAAATGAATGGGGACAAATCGTTGTCGGTTCAAGCTTCTTCATTGTGAGGAATTGCCGCTTTTCTTATAGCATATCATTTTAAAATGTATCGCTCTGGGTTTTTAAATGTTGTTCAGACCATATACCCTGGTGAAAACTAGTCACACAGCAGCTTCTCACTGGATACATATACTGCCATACATAAGTTGTAATAGGTTATCCTAGGAAATCTGACAAGAAGTCAAAGTTTGTTGCTATTTAACAATAGCAATGTTATCTTTGGACACCCGGGTGCAAATAGCATTGTTAGCTATGCATCCTATTAGCCTCCCAGAAACAACATGTCCGGCTTTTAGAGCATTCATTTAGAAGCTGTGGAGAACTGCTGAAAGAAAAGAAAGGAGGGACATTTCATTTGTTTGGGGTTTTTCGAGGGGCCACATCCGCGTTTGGTGGCACCACGCCTTCCTCCATTCCTGTCCTGATCCCAAACATCTGTAGGCGCTTTCTTTTTGTTTTCAACACGGATGTGGAGCGCTGTCTCTCTCCGTCTTTCTCACCCCGCTCCATCTGCACGAGCCTTTTTTCTGTCTGCCGCGATCGGTTTCCCACAAGCTATACAATTTATACTGCGTGTGCAATCCAGCAGGAACAGCTTTCTGATATTGACGTTACAAGACTTTCTTCCTCAGGCCGTCTCCTTTCTTTCCACTTCAAAACTGGACACAGTTTACTGGGCGAACACCGCACATGATGATGGTTTTTAGCATGGATTTACCATGTCAAAGAGCATGTCTGAGTGTTTTGTAAAGTCCTTAGAAAACAGGTTGCCACACATAACACTGTCTCCTACAAAACCACTTTTAGGAAACCTGGTAAATGCCACGGCCTCAAATATATATTTATATAAAAGACAGAGAAGCCAGTGAGGGATTGTGTTGTTGTGGCTGCACTTGGATAAGATTGTAAATGGCATAAACATCCACTTGTTTGTGTTTTTTTTTTTGCCAGCTGAAAGAAGCAGCTGATTAAAAAAGTAAAACGATTAGTCAGTGAATCGACAGAAGAACAAATGAATAGGGACACAGTCTTTGTCGGTTCAAGCTTCTTCATTGTGTGGAATTGCCGCTTTTCTTATAGCATATCATTTTAAAATGAATCGCTCTGGGTTTTTAAATGTTGTTCAGACTATATACCCTGGTGAAAACACTCACACAGCAGCTTTGGACTATATATATATACTGCAATAAATGAGTCGTAATAGGTTATCCTAGGAAATCTGACGAGAAGTCTAAGTTTGTTGCTAAGTTTGTTGCTATTTAACAATAGCATTGTTATCTATGGAAAACCCGGGTGCAAATAGCA